TCTGGGAAAGTTTCGGACTTGAAGATACGAAACAAGTTGCAAAGTTTTGAGATTTTTTTTGTTGGTTTTTGAGTAGATGCTTAAAATATGAGAAGTTTAAAAAATTGAAATCAAAAATTTTCGAAAATGATTTTTCTTTTATAATTTGTTGAAATTTTTCGAGAAGTAAACAAATATTTTATACACAAATTAAATGTTTTATTAAAGTATTTTGTTGTTTAGGTTCTCAATCACATAGTTGTATTTATAATCAAATTATTTTTCAGTTTGTGGAAAATTGGGATTTTTTCAAATTTTAATTTAAACTTTAAACTTTGTTTACCAACAAAATTTTAACAATTATATAGTTTATTTGTTTGTATTTTTATAGACTATTTTAATATCGAACATTACAAACAAAAATGTGCATTGTATTCATTTTACCTCAAAAGTTATATTTGATTTATTCTACATTTTGTTTGTTACTCGTTAAATTCCAAATGCAAAATTGCTATTTCCGCGTATTTTTATCAAAAACTATTGAATATATTGGTTCAAAACATAGACTAATTAATTTTTGGATAAATTTTCTACTTTACAATACCTCACACAATATTCTACGACTTCAAATTGAGAAGTTATCGCATTGTAAACTTGCCCAATTAAAATGTTTTGATTGATAGACCGGAAATTGAAAGAATTTACTCAAAGAATGTTCCCCAAAGTTGAAATGATTTTACACCGGAAATTCAAATATTCTCAAGATAATAAAACGATTGTTGATGACCAGCGATGGCGAACAGATTACAACTGACAGAATTCCGACTTTTGGTTAACTAAAGTTTATGAGTCATCAAAAAAAAAACATCGTAAAATCCGCTGCGTTGCATTTACTTCTTTGTCATCATTGTCATCTTTTTTATATTAACCTAATCTCTATGTTAACCTCAAATCACATCCGTCGTCTTTTCTGTCGGAGGAAAGTTTGCCGATTTTCCGCTTCCCTGCATTCTACAGATTTCCATCACTATATTTTCCATTTTCAACGCGTTCAACTTTTTCAGCCATTTCGCATCAAATCTCCCAGCATGTCAAGTGCAGCTTCTTTCATTTATCAACATCCACACTAGAATTCAATGTCATAACCTCAATTTAGACCTATGCGCATTGGGGGTTTAACATAGGCTTTGTTTGTTTGTTTGCGTTTCTTCTAATAATAAACAAATATTGTTCGGGTTGTTGCCGATTCAAATGCGAGCCTAAAAGCATCATGGCTTTAGCGCAAACGGGATTTAAAAATTTCGCTCGTTTGCGACCATTTTCGGCTAGAGTTCAAGTCGGCAGATGATCCGGGCGCATCCGCCGCCGCCGATTCCTAGCGTCTCAAACGATGCCGAGGATGGAATCCTTTCAAAGCTTTTCACGTTCGCCCCGGCGAAAAAACGCGTTTTATACGTTGGCGGGCGCGCACGCATCGCGCATTGCAGCCGCCGGTCACGTAGCGCTCCGGCTTCTGGCCGCCTCCAGATAAAAATGTAATACGACTCGAAAGCCGTGACACCGCGCGAGCACACACCCACACAGCTGTACCTTCTTGTGCTCGTGCACGCCTTTGGATGGCGATCGGAATTTTATTACCATCCTCGTCATCATCCCCTCTCTGCGCGCTCACATCTCATAGCAGATATATACAAATTTAATGCTTTCTTTTGTGTTCCAAGCTTTTTTATTCTTTTTTTTTTTATTAAGTATGTAATAAAGTATGAACACTGGAATGAAATTGTTAAAAATTGAGAAAGGTATATTCTATGAGAATAAATATACAAATATTTATGTTTCGGGGCATTAAAGTTTGATTTTTCATATTTTTTTCGAATATTGCTTTGGATGTGAAGATAAAAGTTATGATAACATAAGTATATTATAAATATTTTATGTTTTCACATGTTTAAAGTGTTAGTTTATTGTCTAGACATAGAAATATTATTTTTTTTACTTTGATGTTGTTTTTTCCCAAAAATCGCTTTTATTTAAGCATTTTTTCTTTCTGCTTGTGTTTCTGTTTAAAGATTTTTTCTTATCCGAAAATGTAATCTAAAGTACTTTGCTACTAAGATGCTGTTAACGATATGCATTCCATTTGTGTGTGTGTTTTTTCTGTAACTTTCGTTTTCTTTCGAGTTTTCGACGATTGCCTGCTTTCCGTGCAAAAAAGTTGAAAACACTTTTCGTCTTGCTTTTCACTTCTATTGTTGCAAATTTGGACTTTCTAGAGATCCGAGATTGTCCTTACGTAACACTGTACAAAGTTATTTATTTTATTCAATGTTATCAAACAAACTTTGCTTGTTAAACTAATTTGGACAAGATTTAAACGTCAACATGTTTTTTACCATTTAAATTTCACACTACTTTGTGTTAATATACAAAAATCTCGTATTTTTTTTTCTTGATGGATTTTTTGAAAACTTCTCCCGTCACTACTAAAAATAGCCCCTAATTTATACTGCCTTTCAGTTGGTACTACGCCTATATAATAGCGTTTTATGCACGCTGTGACCACATGAACCACGTCGATAAGAAAACGCGCCCTGATTTTTGCGAAACCGAGCATATTACAAAGTAAAGTGCAAGGACTTCGGGGTCCACTAGCATAGGCTAGAAAAAAGGTCCACCCACACCGGCGGCGAGGAAAAGATAAGAATAAAGATCGAGGGGATGCTTAGTAATGATGGATGGCCGTTTCATAAAAAGGACCGACGACTAAAATAAGACTCGCCTACATATATTCCCTATATACGTGTGTAATATATCCCTCGCGTAAGTAGATCAGCTTGTTCTGGCTGGAGAGGCGAATGTGTGCGCGTGTGGGCGAGCGGAAAGGACGACGAATCCATCGCGAGCGCTGAACGAAAACCATGGGCGTATAGGCTATAAAAGGAAACCTTAATTCGTGGATGCATTCTTTATGAATACATATTTTATGTGGAAGCCATTTTCATATCGATGTCAGTCTACAGTTAATAAGGACGAGGATTTTTTTTATATAATACAAAGTTACTTATATCTTTCTTGGTATTTTTTGGCGTATTACGTGCAACTGGTTAATTTAATTTTGAAATGTTATTTCTTCAGATTATTAGAATGTGATTCTCTTTTTTATTTGAATCTTGACATTGTTTTATTGTCTTCATGTGGTGGTTGTGTTAAGTTTTTAGACACTTTATAGTTGCTTCGTTTGTTTGTGTCCGTATTACGCCTATACTACTGAACCAATTTTGATAAATTTTGGTACAATAACACATTAGACACTTCAAATAACTAAGAATACTTTTTGTCGCGAACATTTATTAGAAAAGGTGTTAAATAAGAGTTGAAAGTTTGAATGAAGTTGCAAGTTATTTATAGTCGTTTAATTCAACCAGAGATGGTGTTAAAATTCATTCGTTTGCATTGGCATTCCAAGAAGCAAACGTGTTATTTTTTATTATTTTTCTGCGCAGTTTTCCTACGAAATATATATTTTTATAAACCTATTTTGTTACATATTCGAATACTTTATTTTTGATGGTTATTTGATAGCTTGCTGAGATCATTATTTCAGTATTCTTTTTTTTTCGCAGTAATAGTAGTAGTATTTAATAGGACTACTTCTTCCCAGAAACCTAAATTCCTTAGATGCTAAATATTTCATATAGTAAACAACAAACAGTAATATTTTAAAGAAGAGCAACTTAACAATATACTACAGTTTTTTTTTTGTATCCCTAGAGTGCTTCCAACAACTCTAAAAGACTTTCAAACTTGCGAGTAAATAATTTCGTAAATTTTTACGTGATTTTCTTCGCCCAATATAAGTGCCTACATATACGTATCCAGTATAACAAAAAAAAGCGTTCCGCATTTTTACCTTCCTTCAAAATATGTTGTCTTAGACATTCCCCGAGTGGCATTATGTTGCTTCCAAGAATAGCAGGAATATCACGCAAGCAAAGATGCAAACCCAGCACTTCATTGCTTCATATAACGCAGAAGAAACACGCGGCAAACAAAAAGAAGGAAAAACACGACAGCTCAAGAACAATATACGCATCACGCAAGCAAAAAAGGATCATGTATGCCATCAGTAAGATAAAACATTCTTGAACAATCCCGAGCGAAAAAAATGTTTATTTTAAAAATTATTTTTGCTTGTGTTATTTTTTTCCATATAGAGTAAATATGAAAGTTTTACTAGGTTAGGTTTTTTTCTAGTTTAATCATTAGTTGCGTCACGCATCATTTACGAAGAGGCACTTGGTTGCATTAAAAATCATAAAATCGAGTTATACGGCTTATTTTTATATTTATCGACAAACGTGGACACGAGAATAGTTTTGTGTACAATGCTGTTATCTGCGATTTGGTCTAAACAACGTTTTTAATGCATGTGTCCCGCGCGCTGTCTCCTAGCGCCGCAACAACTTGCTGCATGCAGCGAAATCAAGTTTAGTATATTACAGGTTATCACAGGTAATGTGCAAATTCGCGCACAAGGTCGCGTGCCTTCGACGCACCGTCTTTGCGCACCTCTTGCTTTCTTATCATATACTGGCCCGTCGTTGTTTACGCAGTTTCGGCATGCACTATCGGTGGATTACAGCCAGTTTCGTGCCGGTTGATGTTTAATTCAGTCATGTTTTGAGAGACTTACATCGTTTATTTGTACTTTGCGACTATAGTAATTTGTTTAATGTTCGAAAATGCCGGTTTTTGATCGCGTTTGTTATGTATATTACAAGTCACGTGATAGTGGATTTGATAACATTCTTCACTCGGCGTTGTGTTTGGTGTTGGCTACTAAATTAATCGGTTATATATCGCCGTTGATATGTTGATTCTCATCATTAAGAAAGATCCATCAGGCTCGTGTAAATATTTTTTAACTAAGCAGCATTGATTGTTTATTTTGTGTTGATTGTTGATTTTAACATAATTCAATTGTATGAAATATTTTTGTTTTAATTTATGTTTTCGTTTAGTTACAGCATTCGTGGTGCCTGGCAGTCCGATAAGGAGTACACTGGTAAGTTTATAATTCAATTATATTTTTGGGTCAAATTAACTGGGGGTTAACTGGGGTAAATTCACCGGGGCCCGGCTGATCACTCTTAAATCGCAACCACAAAGAAATTAGCAAAAAATTAACAATTGCCGGGCTCGCGGATTTTCCCCGGGACCCGCGCTAGCTCAGGACGGCCCTGGTTGCGTGTCGTATTACACTTGCTGCTTTTTGCGCCCTTGGATGTTAACATTAATTTATTATCCTACTTAGTCTTTGTCGTTGTTGTGTTTAACGCTTTTAGTATCCATCCTATTCAAACAGCGGAGAGATTCCGCAGGAAATGCCGCAAATATTTGTTTCTCACGCAGATTTGTTTCGCCACCAACTATTTGCGACAACCACGAAATATTGCACACATTGGACATGTTCCACATTAACCTAATTTAATAATAAACCTCTTTGTATGATTCAACAATAATTCAGTTATTAATTTGACAACTGACATAATATAGGTACTAATGATGCTAATATTATAAATGCAAATATTAGGAACGATAAATGCATGTTTGTTACTCTTTCATGCGATAACTACCGAATCGATTTTGTTCAATTTTTGTACAGTGTGATATTATACTGTGGAATTGAACATTGACTACTTTAGTTACAAAAAATATCTTTATAGGGGTAAAATAGGGGATGAAAGTTATAGCAAATTAATCATAGTTATAGTGACATTATTTACTCCGAGACGGCGTTAAGATATTCTTTATATGATGACATCCAGAACAATGTTGATATCAAATTATCTAAATTAGTAAATAAATTATTTCCGTACGATTCCGAGACAAATAGCTTCTATTATTCTATTTGTGTAGCAAATTTTTACTAATGCTTCCTTTGTGTTCTGATTACACTTCATACACGATACGCATATGTTGTGCTCCCTTGAGAATTGAACACGATTCCAGCGACATGATATCGTATTTATTTAACTGACGGCGAACAGGGACTGCTGCTCATATTCATAGAAATGCTTCAGACTTTACGAAGGCAATAACAGCACGTGACCCTTGCGCGGTGCACCTTATTTTCGAATGCTCCAGACCCATATTGCGGGGCCTTTGGCCGAGGACAATGTAAATAGTCTGCGCAGATAGTAAAAGGGGAACATTTATAGTCCTACAAAGGATCCCATCGCATCCCCAAACTTCTCCTGACTTGTTCATACCTTTACACAAGCAAACGCGTCGATTTTATAAGGTGGGGCAATGGTTTCAACTAATTTATTAACAATGGAGATTGTTTGGCCCTATTTTTATTTTTGTTGTTTATGTTTGCAGGGTAGTTTAATTTTGGTTTGGTTAAATAATTTTAGTCGACGCCACTGGCCCTGGCATGGCTGTGAATGTTTCTCGCATAGTCAGCTCCCGATTGTAATCTTTTGACTATATCCACAAAACTCGCTGCTTGTTAAACACGATAGTATTTGGAGGTGGAGAGCGTGTGCTTATTTTAGCACGCTGTGCACTCCCTAAATTCGTCCCATCGTCCCCAAATTGTGCAACTTATATCAAAAGTCCACAACTTAGCGGCAGCAACAGCAGGCAGACGCTTTATTAGCGGTTGTATTAGACAGCGCAAGTGGTCGGCGGCGGCCACCTTCAGAATTCGAGTGCGGTGGATGGCGTTGCCTTCGCACGAGGGTGTTGTGATAGTCTGTTTGGTTGGTAGTTAATGCGTGTAGCGGTAGTGCGGCCTTTTTCTTGTTGCCCGCACGTTATTGGCCTCGGGTGTGTCGTGAAAAGCCTTTCTACGCACCGGAAGTGCACAATACCGAAACCACCATGACTCCCACACTCGAAAACACGTAAAATCATTCTATAGTATTTCTATTGTTATTATTATTACTATAGATATACGAGTATATAGAGAGACATTATGAACATTCATGCAGTCAATAGAATTTCGCACATTTTGGCGCACAATCAAAATATATGTAAAACGCATGCGGTATTATGTTCCAGAACAACATCATCAACAATATTGCTGGTTATTGCATGCCGCGTGGGCGGTGCTGGACTGTAATGACAGCACAAAGTAGATGTGCACGCAAATGCCTCGCTTCGAATTGAACTGGAAGCGAACAAAGCGAGGGAAGGAATAGATTATAATGAAATAAAATAGCAGCGGATGCGCGCCGCGGAGATTGCATACATGCATAGATTTTACGTTTCACCGCTGTGCGGCAAGCGAGGGGCGGTGTATGCAGGATGTTTGCTGGATAATGCAGTCCGCCCATATGTGAAATGCAAAATAAATATCTGCCACGTTACGCGCTTTAGTCCGGCAGCCAGCAAGCCAGCAGTACATTGTTTTACTTTACATTTTGTTTGAAATTCACATAAATTATTATGCGCTAAATGTTTAATTATTGAGTTTTGCATGCATTTTCAATGGTTATAAATAAATTACAGCGAATACGTATGGAAATTTTTAGTTTTGCGGCGGAGAAGAGAATTTTATAGGATTTGCGCTCCTACCAGTGGAGAAATTGCGCATGCGCAAAGTAAACGGGGCAGAAAACTTAAATGTTTGTTTAAATATCTAAAACAAGGCAATAAGTCATAAATTTTTATGAAATATTGATTAAAACTGTATTTTTAGTGAATATTTATGGAAAAGAGCATAAATGCTATACTTTTGGCTCCTCCCAATTATAACCTCACTTATTTCATTCATGGGCGGAGCAAACAAACATATTTTCATGAATATCTAGTATAATATGATAGATACAATTTAAATTTAAAAAAAAGTTGATGTTTCAACCATAACTCAAGAAAAATCATATTTGATTTTAAGAGAAAATACATTTATTTATCCATTTGTTTCCATACAACTAGATACCCGCACGTCTGATATCTAGCAAATTCCAAACAATCTAAGATCGCATTGAAGATTCAGGCGCGTTTGAAGTTTAGAATGCTTTGCACTATTGTGGACGTCCAAGAAATCTCGATATTCGTGACTGCGCGCCGCCTGGAAACGGACATACCCGGAATATTATTCCTCGCTTCCGCTTCGACTGATATCGATGCGCCCGAATGTATCCCATTGCTCTTCTTGCGCCGTGCCATGCCCGCAACTACAGCATGTTACCAAGTAACCAATAGTGGCGGCGTAGACGGTAGTATTGTTGCCACGTCTAGCGAATGCCTTTCGGAATTCCATACAAAACCGGATAACTTCAACGCATGTGACCCGAAACGAAATATTTGCATGTGTGCATAGTTTTTATTCGCTTGCGTTTGAAAAATATCGTAGTTGTATGCGAGAACCGCGCTGGTGTTTGTGTTCGGCGGTATTTGTCGTCCGGAAGTAACTAGTAAAACATCCCTCTCAGTCCATTATTCTTGTTCGCACACACACACACGCACACATATCCATTGACTTGTGAAACTTTCCGGCATCGGAATGCGCATTTATTCAGTTCACACTCGCGCAAACTTTGCGCTGCGAGGTTATAGATCTGTCGTAACGCAACGCAGTTTTTTGTGTTACACGAGCAGCTGAAATTTGCCGGGTGCGACTTTTGGACACACCGCGCGCTCCGACGTAGACTAAGATGAACATAAGAGAAACGTTGATAGAAAAACGTTTGATGGCTGCCGAAGATATATTTGCCGGAAAGCAATCGAGTTGAAGGCGCGCGCGCCAAAGAAACGTAGTGAGCTGTAAAGACGACAAATTTGAATGCGAATCGAACAAAGAAACGAGCACGTACCACACATAACACTTCAACACGCTACCGAAATGTTCAAAACATTCAAATGTCACAATTTAAATATTTATCGAAAATCTATGCATTATATTTTTATTGCGCATGCCACGATAAATATGCAATAAAATTCCACACTCATTAGTTGTTAATGCAGGAATGCATTATTCAAACAACTGCCGTGCTTCATCGGTTCATCGGTGGATGTAGTTTTGTCTCAAAACCCAAAACCCGAAGCCGGGAGTTTTAGTCAACTCGTAAGTTAAGTCTGTCGCTGGCATTAAATATTAAACACAGTCAAGCTCCAATGGGCTTTTCCTGTTCGTCAAGCGCCTGCTATGCGGCGCGTCGTCTCTTTAGTCATTCTTCGTTAAATCTATTATAATAATGAACTGAATTTGTAATAAATGTAAATCTCATCCGCGCGCAGACTTTTGTTCGCCGCTAACCGGCGTCGTTTCCGCTATTCTCCGACGGCGCACCTTTCTTTTGTGCGCACTAATCTGCTTCATTCATTTCTGCAAACTTTTTCGAAAATTTTCGTTATGATTCATTTCATTACGGCTTGGATTTACATTAAAAGATTTATTTAAGATTAGTAATTAATTTAAACCAAACCGATTAATTTAATTTCTAAATAAAACAAGTAAAGAGTAATTATGCTCCGCCCTTGGATTAATACGCATGCGCAAGTAACTTGTGCATTAATCTGTTTCATTTATTTCTTCTAACTTTTTCAAAAGTTGCTGTGGATATGAATTAAAGGATTCATTTTTGCCAAATTGATTAAATTAATTAGAAAATAAGGCAAAAAGGTATATTTAAGCTCCGCCTCTTGGATTAATACGCATGCGTTAGTAACTCTGTTTTTTACTTGTTTTGTTCACGTGGATTTATATAAAATTTTGTATTTTTCGGCGCGTAAAATGTCTTATTTAATTTTATTGCTAGTAAAACATGATTGTCGTGGCCATTCTCTCTGCAGATATAAGCAAACGTGTTGTTAGGATGTTAGTCTATGTAAATGAAACGTAGAACAAAACACACGTTTCAGTGCTGAATGTGCTTGCTCTTTGTGTAACTGCGCCCCATTTCAGCGCAAGCTGGCGGACAGCAGTGACACGACCACCATTGCCGGGTCGGCGGGGCGGCAAGCAGATAGAAAGGATAACATAACATAACTTGCCGGTTGCTTTAGTTATGTTGTCGGGGGCCCGGCACATGTGTCCGAATGTCGCGTATTTATTGCGGCAGCGGGACAAAAACGTCGCGCTCACCAAAAAGTGAATATGCACGTTCCGCGCTGCGTCAGTTGGACAAATTAAAATTTATCGCTCGATTTGCGCGTTCACGTATTATCATAATTTCAAACTGAAGCAACAAAACTGTCGACACATGTGGGGATTTGGTTAATTTTACGGAAAAACAACAAATTTTCGGGATGTAAAAACGTAAAACTTAATACTTTAGGTGTTAGTTGTGTATTGGTAGCGTGCTTCTGTCGTAAACTCAATAAAAGTACTAAAAACTGCGCATAAAAGAATAAAACGCGTCGCGTTGCAGTTTGGAAACTGAATTTGTGCTGAGAATTTGTGCGGCATGCACTCGACTGGACCGTGCACCATTGCGCGCCGCATTGCGAACGCGTCCGATCGTGTAACGGAGAGAAAATAATGCGCATTGGGTGCACTCTAATAAATTAACCAAGTGTAAATTCCGGCGCGCGCGTTGTTCATATTAAATGACAGCCATCGTCGGGCGGCGGCGGCAGCGATGCACCCGAGAGAACAGGGTGTGGGTTGATCGTGTGCGGCAAGCAGCAAGGAAATTGCGCCGATCGGCATGATTAAACATTTATCGACTGGATCACAATCGAGTAATGCTCATTAGGACGGCGATAATTGCGTGTTCGTGTACACAATCATATTGTGAATATGTTTCGGTATTACATCGGCTTCGATTGATTGATGTATTATTACCACTTGTAATATAGTTGCATCGGTTGGCAGTAGGTCGATGGAATAATTTTTTTAATTAGTTATTTGATTTGATAATAGATATCGCGATGGGAATTGGTATTGCAAAACGTAGTAAAATTTTGTTGGAAAATTAAATTTTGATAATGATTGTTTATTTTAAGTATTTTTTGTGTAATTTAAAGTGGATGCAATCCTTTCGAGCGTGTTTAAAGTTTAGATAAGTTCGCCACAAGTGTTTGTTAATTTTGCTGGAGTATTTGCGCGACAAACACCTTGCCGGATTTAATTAAATATTTTAATTACGGAATTAATTTATAGCGGCGCATCTTCAGCGGTTTAATTCCGTCGCACCCTTTTCGCAAACAGACAACAGCGGTAAACACAGGTAAAATGAGGATTTATACAAAACACGTGTTTCGTATTATTGCACCATCAAGCATATTTTTTTATTTAGAAATATTTAAGTTAATTTAATTTATTTACAAAATAAAATCAAAATATTTAGTTGTATATTTAGGGAAAGTTTAACAAAATTCGTTTTAATACACTCTTATATATTTGTTTCAACTTTAAAACAAGTTTTGTGTACGCGAAAGCAAGATTTAGTTATCGTAAATAACGTCAATTGATTGGGAATATTTTCACCTTGTCAGTTATGCACAGTTACACTATGTAAACACATACATTAAACATATTTTTGCAGTTTAAGATTTTAAAGTTTACTGTACGTGTTGTTTCAGTCCCGTGTGTTCCGTGTGTGTGAAGTTTCCAGCGACGGCATCAAAGAATTCATAACTGTGAGTACCTATTGTTAATTAAATTTAACGTATTTTTACTATTACTAAAAATTTCTTTTATTACGCATGTTATCTATTATGTGAAAATAATTTATCTTACTACGTCGTCCAAATATCAATGTGTAATTTATGACTAGCTGGTTACATACAGTGACCTTTTGCAAACCCTCTAATTGAGGGCAAAAAGAAGCTACTCTTGAAGTGTTTGGGTTAAAGTGGGCTGAAGTAATGGCTATTCCGAAACGTATTAACTTTATTAATGGATTCAATTTCCTGCGATGCTGGCGAAGGCCCTGCACTCTGGAAGTGAACGCGCACAATATGTGTCAGGTCGCCTGTTGGCTTAACAAGTTGTTGTGTGTGAATAATGCAAGAAGTCAAATATAACTACAGCCCCCACACCTTCCCCCAAAAACATCAAGATTTATCATCATGTCCAAGTAATAAATTCAAAATTAGTACCGGTCCTATAACCACAAAAACCAGCTTTTATGGCGGTTTAATTTTTATACTTATTGTTATTTTTATATTCAATGCTGCGCGCAGCACATTTCTGTCAAAGTCAATCCGGGCACACCTAGCAATAAAAGACGCAAAGCTGAAACAAAGCGGGCAAAGGCGCTTAAATAAATCCGCATTAATTGGACGTGGGCGAAATAATTGAATCGATGCTGCGCGGATATGCATTGTGTGCGGCGTAAACTCAATTTCGAATCATTTCATTGTTTTGTTGCATGCAGGATACATCCGTGAACGCATTTTCATTTTGTCGATAACATATTAAATGGAGTGTGCGTTCGTCTACAGCAGATTAAATTCAAGCGCGCACTATAACAATCATAATATGCAATATTCGTTGAAATAAATTGAACCATTTCGTGCGTTTTAGGACAATTATTATTGTTGTAAGTAATTACATAATCAAATTATCTAGGTTTGCAGTTGAATATTGAATTTCTTGTGTTGAAACAACAAATTATTTCTGTTAGTTTTTATTTTCATAAATTTGGAATTCTAAAGATAATAGTATTTTATTTCATTGCAATTAATTAGTGAAATTATAAATTGTTTCTCTTGCATTCAATTATATGTGGTTGATTTTGGACAATGAGTGTTTTTTGTTAGCTTAGGTGATGTTAAATTAGATGATTAATATTTGTTCTTACCTTGATATGCAAACATTCAACTTGAAGCAAGAAACTTCCAAGCAAGCAGAGTGTAAACCATATAAAATGTGTTCTCGCACTTTGTGTAAACGCCATTTTCATCTTCCACTTGTTTGCCTGGAACAAAATTGAAAATTATTATTATTTAATCATACAGTGCCTTGGTTTTTAATATTTTCTAAATTCTTTCTATTTTTCTACGTTTATTTAAAAAAATGTCCGTAAAATTTGACAATAATTGCTTAAAAACTTCATAATTTACTTTAAATATATTAAAATAAATAAAAATATATAAATATTATATTAATAACAGTTTTTGATCAAAAGTTACATGCTTTTTGAGTTTATCTTCATGAATTCTAGCAAAAATAACTTTAAATGTTAATAGTTAAATAAACAAAATTTTATGGTTGATAGATATTGGTTTTCAGTTAGAATCTATTGCTGTGATATTAACTTCAATAACTTTAAAGTAATTAATTCCAACAGACAATTACAATTCCCATGTGAATAAGTAAATCCTAGTGATAAATAACAAATAATTTAGTAAATAATCTTGTCTTGACACCTTCAACAAAGAACGAGTATTACGCAATTGTGTATTAATATCACATACATCACACTATCGCACAGTGGAATCATTTCCTGACGAATAGAGGACGCGTCGAGAGCGAATATCAGACTGGCTCTGGCTGAGTGTGAAATATACGTGGTGTACGCAATAATACATGGCGCGGAATAATTGGGTTGCCGCTCGGGGATGTAATAAACCATCTATTGCCGCCACCTTTACGGGCGTCCGCCCGCCGCGACTGCCACCACCGCATCGCGCCGCACACCACACACGCCTCTTGCTATCTGCCATTGCGAGGCGGTGGCAGCGGCAGCGGCGGCGCTCCCATTTGCCATCGTGCCACTACGCTACCGTCTCCGTAACGTTACGACTTTTGTTGTGTTTGTTGCTTCTATTCCGCATTCAGCCCGGCGGCGGTGGTGGCGGCGGCGGCGGTGTGTGCTCGTTTGCCGCGCGCTCTAAATGTCACCATCCATACCGGTTCTACTAATTCAACCTGCGTATCTCTCAATTTCATTCGAGACATTTTCCAAGCGGTGTTAATTCCTTCCGTTGTCCGAATTGACATTTTGACAAGTGTGCCAGATTCACTATCGCATGTTCCAGGAAAAATTACTACTACGACTACAATACAATCGCGTCTAGTTTTATTTACTATCACTTTTAAAATTTTGTCAAAAAAATGTTTGATCAAAAAAAGTTGTTTCTGCTTGCTGTTTGATATTTTCTCGCCGAAAGAAAATAGAATCGAAGTCGTACCATCATCGGATTATATTAGCCGTTAAAACGACTTCTCCTCTCGTATGGATGGCGCGCAATCTCGCATCTATCCTAAATCCCTTCGATGCTTTTCGATACTCTCAGCCCAGTCGATGGAGTAGTTTCCATCAGCGCCCTTCTCAAACCACTGTATTTTTTTCTGCTCTCATTTGGTAAAACGCTTATCTTGACATTTGCGTCGCGTCCCAGTTTATTTTATTGCCAGTCTTTTCTAAACGATTAGTTTTTATTATATTCATGCTTGGAGAATATTTCCGTACAAATGTACATTTTGCATAATCTAAATATCTTAAAATCTAGAGCGGAATTTTCAGATAAGCACGGGCTAAAAATATATTTGGCCACAATAAAAATAAATCAATATCTCTTTGAAGATAATCTCTTGATAGTTTCATAGCTTTATAGTTATCGGTTCGCCGCGCTCCTTTAAGTCTTTTATGACCGGAACTTTTGCGCAATATGGATCCGAGTCCCCAAACTTCTCGCTTTTGGCAATGGTCCGAGTTTTACACACACTATGAGATTTCGCCTTTCATACATGCTGACTTTTCGAATCAAATACAAGAAGAAACTAAACTGAATCTATACGCAACCAACAACAAATTAAACCACCAGTAGTACATTATTCCCACATCAATTAAAGCTCGCGCTAGAAATAACACAACCAGTGCAACTGAAGCAGCAAATAGGTCTGTGACCACTGGTGGGGTAGTGGTAGTGGTGAAACCGATAGATCCAAACTTCCGAAAGAACAATTAGCAACGAATCCTTAACTTGGCGTGCGCTGCGCTGTGCTCTGAAAATCCTTTTGCAATTTTGGGTTCCTGGTGGTGGTAGTGTTAGGGAGCATTCGACCATCCCGGCTGCTGGTTAATAGAGCGTCGCCTCGGCGATAAAATCACTTTCCTCCAAACTTGCACTTGGTGTGGTAACATATTTGCTCGAAAAAAGCAAAAGAAGCAAGAGAACGAGGGAGGAAATTGAAGTGTGCATAGTATAAGGAGTGAAGGGGTTGCCGAACTGTGGTCGAGCACATTTTTATTAGTATAAGGAAATTGGTACCTAAATTGGAAACAATTAGGAAACTCTACAATCTCTCTCAACTGACTTTAACGCCGCGCATACTAATTTATATAATCTCACAAAGTCAAGATAATTTACTTTTTATAACTTCAATTACCAAAATGTAATTAGTAAGATATCCTAAATTTATTTCAAGACAAAATAAATTACAGTCAAGCTAAAAAATGTAATTATAAAACGGACAATCGAAGCCCTAAATCATTCCGCGCTAGTATTTCATTGATTAACAATAAATCAAGAAATATTCTTTTTCTGCTTTTGGCGAAAGTCATTATTTCATTTCTTTCCGTTGAATTTCCAAGCTCGTTTGTCAATATTTCTTATATAACAATACCCCATTCACAATTTTACTTTTATGCTTCTTTTCATCGGTAGATACTAGTTTATTTATTTATTTTTCGTTATTACTTTCAACTCATTGAATTCGATATTTATCGAAAACATTCCTTGCCGCGCTCGTATTTCAAAATTTTCAATTTTATCCGCCGGCATACTCGTAACTAATGACGTCGCGCTTTTCATCGAGAGCTACTAATGAATTTTTTCGACGTTCATTAAAATTGAACGTTTTATTCTGCCCATCTGTCAGTGGAGCATATGTGGAGGATGGAGGGTTTCAGATTGAAGCTCATGTACATGTTGAAATTGTCAAACATATTGAAGCAATCGAACTGATTGAAAGCATCTCGCAGCCCAACAAGCGTAATCAACGCACTGACCATACCAACTCCCTCATACATCTAAACATGTATTGTATGTGTGTATGTATGTGGTAGGTGTTGGAGAGTGGTGGGCCCAGTGCCCACAAGTGCTTCACGTGCCTCATAGATTGGTTGAACTAGATGACCTCACCGCGTAAATTACAGAATTCTACCACTATATGTGCGCTGTCAGTCGATTCGTCAACGAGTGAAACGTTTTCAATTAATTGCGCCGAAGTGTTTTGCTTTCGTCGCGTGTGTTTTGATTTTGATTTGACGGCCCGCCGGCGCTGCGTTTAATAAAAGTGTGACATGATGGGCAACCGTCAATTCGTTTCTGATTGATTGCGTTGTATAATTGGTTGCATACCATAACAAAGCAGTATCACGCGTAGGTAAATGTTGTAAAATTAAAACTTAAAAAAACGTTTCGTTTTAGTACACATGTTGGGTTTTGGAAATTGAGAATGCGAAAACGCGCGAGACGAAAATTCCATTTCTCGTTTGATTTATTTCGTTCTGTATTGAGAGGAAACATGAAAGCATTTGATGGAACTGAAAATCGTGACGCATTTCACGCTCCTCCGATTACTGATTGAATCACGTAACGTTTTTCTCCGCTTTTTCTGCACTCGGCTTGTTTGTGTCTTGGGTGGAAAATATTCCGACAAAACTTTTATGTCTCGCGTTTTATTGAAATTAAGAATATTCTCACCGTTGGAACTATTGTGTTTGGTATTATGATAAATTTATATAGGAAGTTTTGTCACGTAATAACCGTTTAATTTATGAGTGTTAAATGTCGCACGTAACAACTCGGCCGTTAAGGGTGCGCTAGATATGTGCATTGAATTTTTATTCTTAATTACTGCGCCAAGAAAATTGAAGGCGGCGTTTAGTTGGCCGAGCAGAGGGAAATATATGGAGGCAGGGGGGAAGGAAACTATTAGCCTCAGGTCGGTCGTAAATTTTACTTGTTTCGAGTTTTCGAGTTTGGTTCGTGCGTTTTCTTCGCTCGTTTGCTACAAGCTTTGGAAAAAAACATACTTGGGGAGGTAGGTAGCTACTTCATCAAGATCGTGTTATGTAATTGGCGAGAATTAACAGTCAAAGAGTTAAAAATTCACGTCATATATGAAAATCTTAGTGTGAATTTTTCACATTTTTATCTCTTGTAACAGAAGTCTAAAAAAAGCTGAGTCCTGGGAAAAATGTGTGACGCACGTGATCGCATTAAATAATAGAGCGACGTTTCGCGACATTTTGCCACGCATTTTTATAAACTTTCGGCGCACATTTTTTTGTACGTTTAATACATTTATAAATTTCGCACGTTTCATGCACTGCGCCCGCCTCGATTCCTTCACGTCACTCCTCCACGGCTTCTTTCATATTTTACACGAGATTCGCACTTTAGCCCGCCGCCTGAAAGTGCAACGTTGCCGCACATAAGCAAAACCCGAGAGAGCGCAGACAGTAGGAACTAAAGTCGGTTGATATTGGACGCGCTGGAGTTGGAACAGAGGAGTTGAAGCTCTTACTTGCTTTCGGTCGTGGTATGAAGAAGGGTCGTGTCCCCGTTTTGGTATTATTTACGCGTTCGCGTAATATTTACGACTTTGGGAACAGGAGCGCATACGAGAGTAGAGCGGCACAGAAAGGACCAGCAAGCACCCCAAAATGTCAGTGATGTTTAGCAACGCATAATGTTATGGCGGCGCGTTTCGCCAAACGCGTAATGCGTTCATCCCGCGAGAGATCCTCCTGAAGTCCTGAACCCCTGCGTGGCGCATGTTGTGTTCCCTGTGCCGCTGAATAAATCGTGACCGGAATGTGACAATTGTGGCAATGGAAAATGTCGAAATAATTGCGTTTTAAAAATGTGAATATTTAATAAGAAAAAATATTAAATCACAACTTCAAGTTGAAGTTGGAGTTTTAAAAGGGAAAAGTTGCGTGATTTCAGGAAATTATGGACTCCCCTTCTTATTATGCTTCAGTGAAGCAGAATAATCTTTTTGAAGGGTGAAATCTGCGTGCAGTCTTTTCAAAACTCGATATTTTTAATAAAAAATCAAATTTTGGATGTTTACTTAAAACTGTTTACAAACGGAATATAATTATATCTTTAAATACTTGAAATTGATTTTATAAACATAGTTTTTCTTTAAGATTTACTGTTTTAAAGGTTTGAATCCAATTTTTAAATTTTTTTGCTACTTTACTACTAGGTAAATATTGTCTTGTGTGTATTTCGTGTATTGTGCACAGAAGAAAAATAACATTTGCTGAGCAACCCCCAACAGTTATATGGATGCCATAAAAACCAAATACGTTTTACATTTTCGTTATATTTTTTGGATTTTTTTTCGCTTCGCTCTTTCTTTCATCGTCCTTTTTTTTTCGTTTGTTTTTCTTGGCAAAACCCAACGTATTGCTTTTATTCTGTACATATTTTATGCTTTCCACACTTTTCTTTGCTTCTCTTTGTTTAGACGCCATGAATAAATAAAAACAGTATTTTCATAAAAGGATGCATGCCTGCAGCACGAAAAACTAAACCACATTGTTTACAAATATTTACATAAACCGCTAATTGTGATGAAATTAAAAAATATTTAATATAAAATAATCACATTATGATGAATTAACGAATTAGTGAATTAATGGCTGAAATAATTAAGTATTTGACTTGTTGAAGCTTAATATGTGGCAATATAAATAATTTCGCGAGTTAGCGCTTTTAATTATGCGCACGCCGTATTAGCAATTAGCATAACTCTTCGCTGGAAATTACTGAAACTCCACTCGAGTCGAACTCTCCTTCGCGACGCGGCGCGTTTGCGACTCTATTAAATTCGTCGCCGGCAGCCCCTTCGGCTCCCCATAGCTGATTTGCCAAACGCACTAAATCAGAAAGTTTATAAATTCCATTAAGGGTTTAAGTTTAAAGTCGAGTTTAAATGTTTTGCTTTAAATTTTCTTTTACTGCGGATTTGCTGCCAATATATTGTTGGAACGCTTTATTTTAAGCGCAGAGCAAAAACAGAAAATATAACTCAAGCAAAATTCGGGGTTTTAAAAAGCGATTTTAGAAATCCTCGTCGGCGTCATAATTTTTAAATCTGAAGTGCCTATTTATCAAAATACATTATTTCACAAAACAGCAACAAAGGAAAAAGTGTTTCTTTTGATAAAAAAAGATTTTAATTATTTTTAGCTTTATCTCTAAACTAGGCAACCAAATTTACATTCGAAAAAGAATTATTGGTTGCCTATAGAAATATATTTGCTATTAATTTTTTTCTCTCTGAAATGTATATCTATCCGTGAAAATATCTGCTTACCTGGCTGTATTCAATTCGATTTTATTCAGCAAACGTCTAAAATATATTGTGTTCGTATGTAATGCAATCGTATCGACAAACTATATCGAAACTATTGCGCTTGGCAATGCAATCGAATGCAATCGTATTTCAGGACGAATGCGATTCGATAGAATTTTCAATTCGCACTACTTTTACTTGCGTTTTTCGTGCGTTGCTTTCGAACCTACGACGACGACTTCTTTCGCCACTTAGCTTTTATTCTCAACAGGTAAAACTCTATTTTATTTGTCATTGTAAGCAAAAACCAGTTCAAAGATGCGAATTTTTATTACATTTTTGTTGATAAAACCATAATTCCCAGACATTTTATATTTTTATTTTTATTTACAGATAAAACGCATCTAGTTATTGATTGGAAGCTGCGCTTTTCATCGTTAAAGGTAAGCCTTTGAATAATTCTCCAGATTTGAACCTCAAATATGTTAAAACTCGGTTGGTTATTGGTAAATCCATCTCTATAATGAAAATCTAACAAACCAAGAAAGTTCTCCTCGTATCTGCTATCAATGCTTCGATTCTGTGATTTATTAGCGCCGTGCGATTTGCGCGAAATCGGATTCAAATACAACCGGCAGTGGCGCGTTTGTGAATACTCAATTCGTGCTTGCGCGCCGCGACCACCACCGGAATCGGATTGCGTTCCTGATTGTTCAAGTCACGCTCGCCACCATCACCACCACGCCGCGATAAATCAAAGTTTGCAAGCTTCCCAACATCGATACTAATCTGCGACATTGAATAACAATTAGTTCACCGTACTGCAACATTGTTTTACAATACAATCTGTAAGTGCTCTTCATTTTGATGACGTCATTGTGACCCGCAAAAAAACGCCGCTTGAAAATGAACGCCGCGTGTGATAACGATATTGATGGAACGCACATCGGGGGATGGTTTTTTATTGGGCATTATCCCTCTGCGGTCGCGTGTCAATTTTATTCCTCTCGGCGTTACTTCATTATAGCCGTTCCACCGTAATAACACGTTAATGCCACACGCGTTTCGGGCGAAGAACAAAAACGGGCTTGTTAAAATGGACTCTTGAGAATCACGCACTGGCACTGGCAGGAGCTTAAGGGATGAGCGCAAAAGCCTGCGTATACGTAACCTTCATTATGGGCAAACATGTTAAAGATAATGAACCACGCGTTTAAAAAACTTTTTGGGAAAAATATTTTTTACTAAATATTATTTTATTATTTGCATTTTATTTAAGGAGAATATTTAGATGATTGTCGTGCATAGTTTATGACATCCTGGAACCTTACCCGGCTGGTTCTGAATTCTGTGTATTAAATACCGCACGGAAACTTAATTAAACGTGAACATCGTCCTTCAAACTATAGCGCGCACATTTCTCAGACTGTCTCTGAATTACCGAGTTCCACTAAAATCCTCCGCAATTCTCCACCGTCACTAATTGCAAATAATTTATATACCCACACGATAAGAAATACTATCATCCAAAAACTTACTCGTTGAAAACTTGGCGCGAAAGAAAAAAGATTGAAAATTTTAAGGCTCTGAAACAAAAACACTGAAAACAAGTGCGAAAACTTAAAGCAAAGTTATGGCATTTCGAGCAGTAAATCTTTATTTCGCGCCCAAGAGCACCACTCTCTCACACCCACACAGGCACAAAGTGTGGGCCAGTATTTGGGCGCGCGTAAAGCTCTTTCTATTGTAAACTTTAAAGTGAGAATGCAAATAAAATACTTGTACTCGTACGCATATAATGGCCGTGCGCGCGCGCGTGTTGGATGAAGAACGCGAACTTTTCAACAGTTCCCGACGTTTTCCTGTTAAATTGTTTGCATTTTCGCGCGCTGGTCTGCCTAACTCTTCTCAAGTCTTTTGCAGTTTGCCATTTCGCGGGATAAATCTCAAGATGCGGCGCTTCTTTTCTTTGATAGTTGTTCTTTGCCTTACACTGCTTTTATGCACTGCGGACCGAAAAAGTTTTATTGCTTTTTATGCAAATGTAAATACTGTAACTAATGCTTGTTTTGCATAATCATAACCTTTTTCTTGCAAATTTTTAAAAATACTATTTTTTTCAACGTAGAATAATGTTTTGATGATTAAAAGTTTTTCTTTGTTTATAAATGATTTTTGACGAATTTTAAACTTGTTTATCTTTTACAAAGTATTTATATTAGGTTTCAAAAAAATTACTTGACCGAATAAACTCAGTAGCGAATTAAACGCAATGAAAGAAGAATTTGAAAGTTTCGCGACGCTCTAAGGAGAAAATCTTCAGCCAATAAAGACAGCAACGAGTTGATGAAACGACTAAAATGCTTACATACGACGTCAGCCGTTGCTTTCCAATCTGAAGTAAAAGTGTTTCGAAACGAAAAAAGTTTTTCACGAGCGGCCATTACGAGACGAAATCACCCTCGAGTATTTTACATCCCCCGATGTATAAAGCCAGCGACGTGCGCGCACACAGCACAAAGTTATTTACAGAGGCGCGCGCTGCTGTTTTAACTTTTGCGTTGAGGTTGCGGGGTGGTGGTTGATGCTCCAGTGGCAGCATGGCTGAGTCCTTTGTAATCGAAAAAGTGTTTCCTCACCGCTGCACCAAACACCCAACTAACTAAGTAACTAAAATAAAGTAAACGCTACAATGTGCGGGCGAAGTAGTAAAGTTTTTTTTCTTCGTGTGTTTGTTTTCGTAATTTCTTCTTTATTTTTAAATTCGTCAGAGGTGAGAGGCATGCCACAAGATGAAGGAGAATGTGAATTATATATTGATGAGCAAAGTGCTACTTTAATCTTATACTTTTAAGTAATCAAATATTTATTTACTTGTTTAAGTCAAAAGTTTTGATGAGTTTTGTTTTTGGACCGTTGTCTTGGACATATAACAAACATGATAATTTTTTTTAAATAAAATGACAATAGAATAATGCTAAGTAAGTCGCTTTGAACTGAAAACAAAGTAATTTTAATAAATTCGCCTAGTTTTACACGAAAATTTAAATATTCGCACGCATTTGCATATTTATGATATAACGAGCAATTTTTATTGCGCCAAACACGAATTCAAATATGAATTCCAGCGTGCATTTAAGGTAAATTAAACGATATACGAACGGGGCGAAACGTTGCACATGCGGACCACCCCACGCGAGTAATAAAAATAGCGCGAGAAACGCAATTTGAGCGCGGTGCGCACATGAATGGAATTCGTTGCATGCACACACGCCGCCACCGCCGCCGCCGCTTACCATTGACTGCGCTATTCTGCCTCGATTTTAACCCGGTTCGCTTCACCCGTTGCGCAGCACCCCTCGAAGAAGCCTCATGAATATTTAAGATGCGGCCGCGTGGCAAAAAGCCACCACCGGCGTGTTTCACCCTCTATCTTCTAATAAGAATATAACAGGTGTTTTTATAAAAAAATTAAATTTCATTTATTTTCGCGATATGATTTGAATATTTCTTTGTTAATTTACTTAAAAAAATGTTTTAATTTATTTTTATGTTTAATAATTTATTGGAACACTCTGTATATGCGGCATATTGTTGGTGTCAAAACACTACAAGTATTGTTTTTGCCCCGAAGTGTTCTGGAAACGCAAGCGAAGCGCAATAGCGCATGGAAAAGAAGAAAATTACACATACAATTAAAGCAGCCCATTATAATTTATGCGTGGAGGGGTCCGACGGTTCTATAGGGCATGATGCGGTAACGGCGCCCAGCGCCTCCACCATTGCAACCATGATGCCGCCACGCCTCGCCTGCGAAAGCGACAAACGCCGCCCGGGTTCATTTGCAGCCCCACAGAGCGGAAGTAGTGTAATACACGTTGGCGAAATGTCGACAAACAACTTTGCCGGCGCACGCAATACGTGAACAAACGCCGCGCAAAAGGGCCGACGAAAAGAGGAAATGACAAGATGAAAAGCTACAGGAATAAGGGTATTCGAGTACATACCAAGTACCAACTACTTGTAGCAGCAGAAATATATATATATACTGCAAGTGAACAAAAACGAGGAGATATTTTGTATTTTAAAAATAATTGCATGTAATTTAAAGTTGAATGGCTTCGTTTCTAAAATGCCCAAAATGAACACCAAGGGTTAAAAACACCATTACACGTTGCTGTTTTTAACGCGTCGCATTCAAGCGCCAGACGAAAACGCACAACGCAATTATAAACTTGCTAATTATAACTTATGTGACGCGAAAACTCGGCGAGCGCTTTTTCGTCGCCACCCTGCGTTCGGTAGGCGGGCGGATATTTTCCGCTAACCCCGTTTCGAAGTTCGCAGCTTAAAATTTATCATAAATTACGGGCGTACGCGCGCCGCGTGCCCTCCGAACTGTTACCGCGTTACGGCTTCTTTTGTGAAGGAGAAGTCTTGCGTTGACATTCCGTAGCTAATACACGTTTAAGACTAAAATGTCTTGAGTAAATATGTAAATTTGCTTCAAACACCCGAATTTGTCACAAATAAGAGCTGGAGTTGTGGGTATTTATTGTACAAATTGCACAAATAAAACAAAACAGATTGTTGAAATTTAATTTGGTTAATAAATGGATGTATTTTTAGGTGTAATTTCGGGGGTAATATTGAAATATGCGCTAATTACACGCCGTGCTGCAGTTTTTGGGGTGGTGAATGCAGGGCAGGCAATTAATTTCAATTTTAAAACTCTGATAAAGTTTGAGCATAAATTTAAAGCTCTAGTTGACCGATAATTACCGCCGGAAACTTTTCAACGTGTTGATTAAAATACATGTTAATTAATCTGCCGACAATAGCGAAAAATAACATCAAACATAATAAATACTAAATGTAATAAGGTTATTTAATAGTAAGTCTTTTAATATACTTTTACTACGTAATATACATTTTTAATTAATTATTTATTTAATAACCGGTATTTTTCACGTATTTTTTTTTTAATTGTCCTTAAAAACTTAGCTTTAATCGCATTTCGGTATAAATTGAATTGAATTTTTTTCACAATGTTTCTCAGGCAATTTTGTACTTTAAAAACCCGGAATGTTTTCCCATACACAACACTCGCCTCATATACGAGTATGTGCTGCGTCCATTGCGTCCGCGCCGGTAAAAAATGGAAAAACACGCGTCCTGCGTTTGTGTGAAGTTGAGTGTTTCGAACGATTTTTCATTTCGCCCGCTTTGTAACACCACCACCCCCGGCCGGCGCGCCGGCAACACCAACCAATTTAGCCGCTAACAACGCAATCTAAGCCTTCTGGGTGCGCTGGCGCGCGCGCGGGTTTTCTAAATTTCGCTCGCCGGCACGCCGTTATAAATGAATTGTTTGTGTGTTACCTCCGATGGCGATGCGCGCACACCACCCGCTGGTTGTTTTGCAATGATTATCAGGATTTTTT